ATCCAGAAAGCAACAATGGTCATGTTCCTTGATGTGAAACATTAGTTTTGAATCTGTGCACCTCCAGGCACTATGGCAGTGTCTATGGAGCAAAGGTGTCCCGCATAAATTCTTTACCCTCCTTAAGGCGCTCTACGCCAACTCCCGCGGCCGTGTGAAGATCTACGAGAAGCTCTCTCACCACATAAAGTGGTGTCAGACAGGGCTGTCCTTTTTCACCTTTCCTAAGCTTCGTGATTGACACGATCATTGAAGACTCTAACGCCTGTGGGGTCAATTTCTTCCGGGACGTCCCGTCACAGATATCGAGTACGTAGACGACATAGCTCCTCTTGGACCGAATACGGTATTAACGCAGACAATATTAAATAATATAATTCCGTCACGGTTTACTATGCGCCCCCCACCTGCAAAGTATAAAGTGCTACTGCAAAACTGGGTGGGCTCGACAGCTGTATCAGTCCCGGTGGTCTCGTGAAAGATATTTTCATCCGGATTGGAAAGGCCAGAACGGCTTTTGTGTACCTGCGTTATCTATGGCGTAGTCGAGACATCAGCTCATTATTCGAGGGTCGAGTTTACAATGCTGCGATGCGCTCCATATTACTGTATGGATCAGAAACCTGGCCGCTGAGCGCTGAGGACGCCAAAAGTCTGTCAGTGTTTGATCATCCATGTCGTCAGAGAATTGCCCGAATCTGGTGGAACACCGGATTAGCAATTCTAAAGTACGGAGAAATAACACCTTCGACAGATGAACTGATTACACTGCATAGGTTGCGCTGGCTTGGCCACTTGCTGCGTATGCCAGTCGACCGACTTCCTCGAAGGGCTATTTTCGCACAACCATGTGAAGTGTGGAAGAGAGCCAGAGGCGGTCAAACAATGACTTGGCAGCGAAGTCAAACTCAGCCGTGCTCGTCATTGCCGCCTTTCTCGACGGGGACCCAGAGACGGGTTACATCAATGGTTGGAGACATTGTCAGACATAGCTTAGTCGCGCCCCGAATAGCGATCGTGCATCCAAGCTATTGCCTTCAATGCAAAGCTCCCTTCCCAACACCCCCCCCACTTAACAGTCCACCTGTATTTATCAGCTACAGCCTCGCATGCGCGGCTACCTATTCCACCCCCTACTCGCCAAGTCATCAGTGAACGAAACCGTGGCAACTACAACCACTGTACGACGTACGCAACTCTTACAGCTGACAATGAGAGAGAAATACCGGCTCGAGCCCTGATGATCCCACATTATTTAGTCAACATCATAATCACAGTCATATCCACTTGACTCTGAATGCCCTACCAAATATCTGTTGCTGACACTCATCTACAACACCTTTGGAAACGTGGCCACCTAGCACACTAAACCGACTGTCCACCCCTCCGTTCGCGATAAGAGTTATCGGTAGCACTAAGCATGGGTGGTGCCCTTCCCTGTGTCTACTCAGAGGCCGAATCAACGAGGCTGAGTCGAAAACTAGACCCAACATGAAATCTAGTATGGCTGTCTACCATAAAGTACAATGTATCTCAACGTTACGATCAGCGCATAAAGCTCAGGGCTTTTATACAGCTGGTAACCGCTCGCCTAAAGGTCGCGCACTCAGAACGCGGACCTGTGCAAAAGACGTCAGAGCGCGGAAAAGCTTTCCCCACGGCAACACGTAGACGAGAAAGGCAGAACAGACAGACCGAGTGGGCCGTGTGAAACCATGACACACAGTGCTAGACCTCGGTTCGAGTGAAACCGCCAATCACTTCTACAACCGAACCAGCCTCAACTACCCTTCCATGCCCAGAAATGTGACTGCCGATGGAGACACCGAACCGCAGATAGACGGAATACCCGACTGGCTTCCTGAAGTGCTCAAACTCAGTTGTTATGAATTGTAACCGTGGTACTCCCAGATTTCCGATGACCTTCACAAATGAGAATATTGACCGCATACTCTAGGCCCACAGGACTATTGATCCGTTTCTGAGCAACTGGGTTTCGAACACTTAGCGCTCGTCTAATCACCCCATCAGTGAAGAAAATGAAGCGAATATCCCTGTTGAACATCACCACACACTGACGTGCCCACAAGCATCATACGATATTCACGAAACTCTGGGGCATAACCTTTTTCGTGTCAAAAAGCTCGAGCTAGTCGATAAAACGGAAAGCATTCTTGGTCCCAGAGGGCAAGATTACGCGGCGTCTTTCAACACTCCTTGGAACGCGGCCCAAATAGCCCCGTCCCAGCAGGTATCCTGCTAGTTGATTTCGGCCATCCTCACGCACCCTCGTAAGACGACTCACGGTGGACGAAGCAAAAGCTTCGACTCTCATCACTGACCTACTCACCTCAGCTGGTTGTGATGGCCTCTTGTGGCTACGCAGAGGTAAATAAGTTACAAAATCGCCGGCTGATTTCATCTCCATCATTAAACAGGGACACCCATCAATTTCAGAGGCCTTCGACAGCTCCTAGCAGTATAGCCTGCGCGGGCAAGGCAATGTGGGAACAACCGAGTCACACGGCAGTGACGCACGTCAGCACTGGTCATTATTTCTAACGATGTGACCACTGTGGAAGGGATAAAGCTTGCGAACTATCGAAGCAGGAGAAACCGCTATTCCCAAAAGCGGTGTCTCAGGGCACCTCACGCACTTAGACTATCCCCCAAGGGCTATCTTTGGTCGATCCCTCCGGATGACCACTGCGCCGCAAACAGCACACTCACGGCGGTAGTTTAGGCTCCTGACCAATTCCGAAATTCTGCCTTCAAGCCGAAAACAAGACCCAACAGCCGCGGTATGCTACAAACGGTTAGCGACAAAAGCGGTACTGTGGAAGGCCACCGACTTCGACGAAACTCCTGAGTGGCACGTCAGTAGTCCACAAAAAGTCGCTCGCCGCACGAAATATGCAGTCCTGTCCGTTCTGCTGAGTCAGCTAGAAGGAACGGCAAACTAGCTCATTGACTCAATCCACCGATTGCAGAAGAATCCTCAGCTGTCGCCTCAAGCCGTTGATGATAGACAAGCCGACGCCGTACTTCGGTGTAGAAGCCAAATCAAAGAAATACCCACCTTGACACTACATTTGCTCGCCTGGACCCGGAAAATGCGGGCAACTCTAGACGATTACCCTCACGACGATTAATAGGCACGTACACTGAGAAGGCGAGGACTACCGATGAAACACCACCAAAGACCACTGCATGGAAGATTTCAAAGGTTCAACAATAACTGTGCGGAACTTAGGCCCGAACCGTTGACCATCAAGAACTCTAGAAAAATCAATAGACATTTGTAAAACCTATAATAGGCGGTTAGCAGTGACCACTGGTGGCGAGTTAGTCTACTAAATGACAGTCCGAATGCATTCAAAAGTAAGCCCAAATTAAATGTACTAAAGAGTACATTACCCAATTCAGATTCAAACTTCAACCATTCGGAGCCCTCCAAGTTGGCAGGAAAAACTACACCCTTTTGGCAGAATAGCGAATGGAAATAGGAGTACTCGCATGCGCCTGATGTATTTAAAACATGAAACTGATGACCAGAGTAGTAAAATGCTCACAACGGAGTTGGGAAAATACACTGCAATGAGGAAGCAGCTGTTCACTGAGGCATCGGAGGGTGTCCAGGAGCTGAAGCTGCTTGCATTTGCTGAGTGGGTGCACAACCACCAGCGGGTTGACTCGGAGCACCACCCTGTTGCTGCTGCCAGGCTTGTTGCCAAGCCTGCCACTGTTGCCACTGCTGCCATTGTTGGTTGTAGTCGTACTGAAAACGGAACGAGACACTTCACTGGAACAACTTGACAAACGGCGGGCGATAAACAAATACTGACAAACTTAAGGAAATAGTGGGAAATCGTAAGCGGACACACTGCTACTATTGAGACTAACAAGCTCCGGGTTGTTACAAAGCCACCTTGATAACAAATTACGAATGGACAGTGTGTTAACCTCGCACAAACGCATTTGCTTTACTTCGGGTGAACGCCACGGAACTTTTAATCAACGGGCATTGGCTAAAGCGAACTCTGTAGGAACGCGCAAGCAGCACAGTCGTTCAAGCTTCATAATGAGCCAACCGAGTAGTACCTTGAGTGATTTTGAGTATGGTCTTTAGGTTTCATACTTACCCTACAAACTGCCGAGGTAATTGGGGTAATGTGGCTCTGGATTACGAATGACATTCTCGCTTTTCAATGAGCTGCCTTCGGACTGGATCCAGTCTGGATCTGGATCCGGATGGTGGGCATAGGCTACTACACCGTACTTGATGAAGTTAACGCTGAGGTTCTCGGACCACCATAAGATTCAAGTAGCCTATGGGCGAAAATTATGTCCAAAGGTACCCATAAACGAACTTAATTAGTGTTTCACGATAACTAGAAACTTAAAAGGACTCCTACGCTTCGAAAAAAAGCCGTAAACAAGCCTCCACTATTCACGCACCCACTGTGTGGAACACAGGCTAATTGTCAACGCCTCAGGATCTAGTCAGCTTTACTCGAATGACAAATTGTTCGTAACCTGGAGAGAAAAACAGAGGGGCGACCGTCCAACCTTCAGTACAGTGGCTGGTTGAAGCTTGTTCGATGTAATATTATTCGTGTACTTGGGGTCGTTAGTGGGATTTAGTCGTATCTCTTGTTCGATGGTCACACAAAGGAACAAAAGCAAGACTTTTACGTCAATCAGGTCAGGCGTTGAGTGAAACCAAGCGGTAGTCATGCATAAAAGTTAGGATGCAGATCCGTTTGATTTTGCGGAATTAAAGAATCTGACCTATTTAGATTTATTACTTGGGATTTGGCGGGTTGTGTGGGCGAAGTTATACCTAATCACCTAAACTTTTTCCAGCTTGCTGAGAAGAACCTGTCCCTTACTGAGAGATGTACTGCAACAGTGCACAAGACACTGTTCTTGGTGCAGAGCAGACTCTCCAAACACTTCAAAGCGGCGATAAAAAGGTTACAAGATTGAATTCCACTCACCTGCCCAGGGGTAGCGGGCTGTCCTTGTACTGGCACTATCGCAGGGGCAGCGGCAGGGGCGGCTGGTTGTTGTGGTGCCATGGTGGCAGATGGAACTTGTGCAGCGGGCTGTACTGCGCATGCTTGTTGCTGCTGCGCCTGTCGCACTATTGCATCTGCGTAATCGTGCATGCCTTGACGCCGATAGTACTCAGCCCATGCAGCACTGTAATCCGGCTGTCCGGTGTATGGATTGAAAGTTGGTGGTGGCATTCCAGAGGCAGAAGCCGCGCCGTTGGTTGCGCCCATGCTCCAAGGGTCTGAAAAACGGTACATCCAACACTTACTTCCCAGACTACCCAAAACAATCGAGTAATAAGCAGCTAAGAGATATTTGCCCCAGCAGCCTATATCCGGTATTTACACGTTGAAATAGGAATGCGATAATAAGCAGTCACCTAACTCTTTAACACTAGGTGATTCAGCTACGACTGAAAGGGAAACTACGAAAATACCAAGCAATTGACAGCGTAATTTGATTAGCATGGGGCTACTAAAGTGTACCAAGTCATCCACAGCGTCGACAAGACAGTAACCAGATATAACGGGAGTATGCGGTATGGGGCAAGCACGCACTTCAAGGGCACCACAAAATTAGTTGCTAGTTAAGCGACTGGTCAGTAAAAACTTGCTTGCTCATCCAGTGTTGCAGCCTAGGCCAAAACGCGTAGGGAGCGTCCGCAAGTGCGTTATCCTGAGGGACTGGAACGTCCAGACTGAGAATATAGTTAGCTTTGTGAAAGTTAGTTAACTATAACTTGCAATGGGTTGAGGTAAGCCCGCTATATTAGGCTGCCAAACCGGTGGGTGAAAATGACCATCCCGATGGCGAAAACGGCTGGAGACGACCCCCGGAAGACAGCCAGAAACTCTCGACCTTTCACTGGCTGACACGCACTTAACATGCCACCCCGCAAAAAACGGTTAGCTCACCTGATTGGGGATAGCCATATTGACCCCAAGGACCGGATGCTGCACCAGCCGTTGCTGGCCGTGTCATGGGAATACCAGCTCGCTCTGAGATCATCCTGTTAAGTGATTACGTCGTGCAGTATCCAGAATCCAGTAATAGGAGACCAGGCATAGATGCATATACGAGGAATTTCGTGCATAGGCATATACCGACAATAACAAAGATGGGCAACAGAGAAAAGGTAACAGTATGACAGTTTTGGGAATTAGAAATGTGAACGAAAACAGTAGTAAAAATTGACTTGCTGTACCTTATTGCTTGATCTATTTCCTGCCGATTACCGCGTACATTGAAGATTTTTATTGTGGGATCGGGAGGAGGCTCCTTTGATATCTCAACGTGCGCTCCGCTGACGCGACAAATCTCTTTAATAGACTCGCCTCCTTTGCCAATCACCAGGCCTGCTTTCTCTGCGGGCACCGCATACTGCGTAGTTTCCTGGCCATCATATCCATACATATGTCCACCACGCTAAATATTAAAAAGGAAACATTGGAAGACCTACATCGCGTGCGTTTATCAAGGCGAGAATTGCTTGTCTAGCCTTTTCCACACGAGCGGGATCTCCAGTAATGCGCAGGGGTTTATCCTCGGGCGTCGGATTGTTGCTCTGTTGGATCAGAACCATTTTAACACCACTCTCCTCTTGTAAACTCTTGATAGTTTCACCATTTTTCCCTATAATCAAACCGGCCTTGAGTCCCGGAACCATCATCTCAATGGTCGTAACGTTCCCACTACTGGGATAGACAGTAGGTGTGACAGGCCCGTTTTTGTCAGCGCGCTCGATTATCTGTCCAATTAATTGTTTTGCATGCCTGCAGAAAACTGTGTAAGGACAAGCTCAACATACTCTATCTGATGCATAGTTCCGGTGAGGGTGACCGTCCGTTCGGGAGTGCCGGCTAGGCAGGTTACATAATATGGGACACAACCCACCTTGAGAGATTTGTACTTTGCAGCCAGACTCGTTTTGTAGCAACGTTATCTGTTCACCTCTTTTTCCGATGACTAGGCAGTCAGTAAAGATAGAACAACCTACCAAGACCGACGTAGCGATCGGGGATTGAGGTTTCTGTCGAAACAATGCGGGCAGTTGATTGGTTGGGGGGCGTATTAGAGGGAGCAGATACACTGGGGTTGGACGTGGGTTGGGCGCCTGTCAGCTTCTGATTGAGACGCGCGGCAACCTCCGTAGCGGCAGCAACTTTATCCATTACAAGGGGACGTTTTTCAGTACTAGCGAATGAGCTGTCGTCCTGAGCAGGTCTTTTCATGCCAGCCAAACCTCCATTAGTGGCAGCAGAGCTTTCATCAGACATAGAAAACTTCGACACTATCTGTAGAAATAAAAAATAAACCAAGGGCAATCGAAAAACTAACCAACCTGTTTCGCCCGTTCTATGGCGTTCGCGTAAGCCTCGTTACCTGCCATAGAGGATGCAAGATGGCGGTTCGCAGCCAACGGACTAAAACAAACGTCGACACAAAAAAGTAAGGAAAAACAGCAGAGACTATCTGGAAAGCGATTGGAAGAGTGAGCCTCAAATACCGTAAACCGGTCTCATATGTGGAATCAAGCTTTAACCGCGACATTCAAAGCTTATCCACAGCAGACCATGATTTAGTTCAAGGGTTTACGGATTGATACACAGGATCGAGGCTTTTGCCCAAGTTTCCCGGGTCGGTTTTGTTCTTGTCGGTCAGTGGCTGTCGTTCACCTGAAAGGCACAAGTGAAAAAAGGGTGTAGCACTGCTCTTTATGTTCTCAGCGCGGGGCAGTATGCTCGCCAGCGCGAGGATTCGCATAAATAAATGTCTAATAGTGCTTTAAATTGGGTTCTAGAAGGAGCGTGTACAACGGTCGGAGTGAGTTCATTCCACGCAGCTACTACCCGAAATGAAAAAAAATTTTGTTTAATGAATGTGTGTGCCCTGAGCTTGAAGATTTTCTTACTATGTCCCCGCCGGGTGTTTGCTGGGTAAACGGTAAAAAACCTGTTTGCCAAGCTTTGTTCAAACAGGGCGTAGGTAAGAATTAGGTCCCCTCGGAGGCGACGGCACTCCAGGGGAAAGAGATCAAGCGTCGCGAGACGCGTTTCGTAGTCCACGGACTTCAGGCCGGCAACCATTCTCGTGGCGGCCCGCTGGACACGCTCAATGAGGATAACGTCTTTCGTACGTCCTGAGTAGACAACTTGGTTGGCGTACTCCAGGAGCGGTCTGACGTAGGCCCCATAGAGTATTTGGAAGTCCATGCGAATAATACGGGAGAAGGTACGTCGGATCATCCGTAAAACGGCGAATGCCTTTTAGGCCGATTTCTCATGG